TTGTTGGATCGCTTCTCCCATCTATAAATCGACGCACATGGGTAGGTTCCACCATCAAAATCTTCAGGGTGTTTTTGGTCAACTGCAATGTCAGCTGGGTAGACAGGTTCATCCAAATGTCAATCAATCTTTGTTCACGTATAAGGTTCATAATGTCAGGAAGCATGGGTATATCTAGTTCACTCACAATGCGATCACTGCCATTGGTTGGGATATTTGTCTGGATTTTCTTTTGGTCTTGTGTTGAAATATGGAAGTCCAGGGGACAAGCTGGGATGGATGACATTACAGGGTTAAGGTTTTCGTCGAATGAGAGATTTTTAGGGAGGTAGGTTAATAAATAAACCAAGGCACCTGGTACCACTGCATCCACACTAGTGTGTTCTACTAGCATACCTGTCTTGCCATCCTTATACACAACAAGGTTGATGACTTTGTCATAGTAACAACACTGCTGGGTATCATTCCCAAGACGGGTGGCCTCTAAGATTTTACTCCTGGTATCTGGTGCATTTCTTTCTTCCAAGTTGAGGGCTAGGATGGCGCTCTCCATGATATGGATGGCATCACTGGCACCTCTTTGGATCAATGATTCCCGAATACCAGCCCATGTTGGACGATCAAGGGCTGAAAAAGGAGCTATGCTAGGTGGGGCACCATCATGTCTAGTAACTGCTTGCAGTTGTCGGTAGATTTTCTCTAAGGAAACAGGTTGGCCGTTTGGTTGGATGACATCGACCTACATAATACAAAATCATTTATAGCAAGATTCTCCAGGAAATTGTAATGAGTCTTTCACTGTATCAGATATGCCATCTGTTTGTATTTAACATTGATCACTTCTACAGAGAAACATTGATATCCAAGGTGAGTTAAAATACAAATGAAAAAAAAAACATTATCAGTTTATAATTTAAAAAAAAATACCTTAAAAGCTGCCCCTTTCTGTAAAACGACAGCGTGTTGAGAGTCGGTAAATGTAGCAAGGGTGTCCATTTCAAGCCCGGGAACTCTGCATGAAGACAGCATGTGATGAGCCTGGCTTGTTTCCAGTTGTTCTCCTCGTTCCATTCCAATGCAGTTGGTGAGAAGTTCCGGCTTTGCCTGTTGTGTAATTTTTGTTACATTGTTCATTTCATCCTTGTCTCTCCAGATAAAAACTTTCACGTAAAATAGGGGCAGCGAATTGTATGTCAAAATATTGCAAAATAAGTAAACTGTAGGTTATTAAGATTACCCTACATAAAAAATCAATTTTGGATTGACGAATTCTACACATAGACCAGGAGATTCATGGGAGATCTTCCACAAATTGAACAAGTTAATATATTTTTATATCATGTTAAAATATTCTAACTGCACTTAAATTTCAATATATCTTGGTTCAAATATAAATACTAAATCAACATTTTTTAACCATATCAGTACAAAGGCTAAAGGAAACTCTCACCTTGACACAAGCTGTAGCGTGCAACAGGGTAGCAGCCCTACGCAGCTGGTCGCTGTGCTTCTCGTCGTCCTCTAAAAGAGCGGTTATCACTGTAGAACTCGGGATTGGATATCGAAGGGACAGCAGATTTTTATGGAAACCCTCAGTGGCCCAGTTATCCTTGTCCTTTACAGCCTCGGTGAAAGCTAATTGTATCTTCTCCCATGTTCCATCATCTTGCAATGCGCGGAGCCTGCTTTGGAAGTCGTCAAACCTTTCCTTGTCCAATAGCTGATCCATAACACGGGTCAGCTCACTCAAAGTGGACTCCAATGTTGGGACAGGGTATTTCAAACTAGTCATGTTGCTGCAAAAAAAGAAAAAAAGACACATAGCGTAAAACAATTTTTTCAAAAAATAAAAATAAATAAATAAATAATAATAATAATGCTAAGACACCTTTAATAAAGAGGGACGTTATAGGATTTCTTGAAATACATATCCGTTTAAGCAATTTCAAATATATTTTTTGTTAGCTACAGTAGCCTGACGTGCGTTCACCTAACCAGTTAGATTTATAGATATCACGGTTTAACTACAGGATAGGTAAGCTATAGGTTTTAATTATAAATATATGTAAAAGGTCTAATAGAGTACGTTCATGGGATTCATTCATTAGTGGTATTTTTTTATTATCATATACATAAGGCATTAAACGACGAAAGGATCCCATGCCAAGGGTTTCCCAACAGTTGCCCAACACGACCATCTGAATTCGACGTAGGCTGCCAATATTTACGGTATTCATACGTTATTATACTTTGATACACGTTGAACCTACGGCGGCATACGTTGATATACTGTAAACTAGTATGTATTACTCAAAAGGCAGTACATACGCTTTGAGGCACAAATACGCCCACCATTCATTTTCAAATTTTAAGTCCATAGTACATTTTAAAAATTTTCATTAAAAATAAGCAAGCGGAAGCATTTTTTATCAAGTTAAATTAGCGTACATCAGTCTAGCAACTGACTAGCTTTCAAATAACTAGCTTGCGGCTAATTTCATGGGGTCGTCCAATTTTTAAAAATTGAAAACCTTTGTTACATCTTTTTGGTGCATGTCACTATTTTTAGTTGTTTATTATATATATATATATATATATATATATATATATATATATATATATATATATATATATATATATATTAGCCCTTAATAAAATCATCGATTTAGTTTCATCCATCATTAGCAAATAAATATGGCGACGGGGTTAAGTTAAATGTTTCACAGGAAACACGGCAAAACTGCATTCTCATAGAAAGTATTTTGAAAAATCTTCGTTACCAGGCATTGTGAAAAAATATTTTTGAAACATAACAATAGTGAAGATGTTTTAAACTTAATATAATCATTTGTTTGAATTCGATGCCATGTGTCTTCTTAATTTGTCCACTAAAAACCTGCCGGGCTGCAACGACAACATTTCTATTTTCAAGGAAGCCGCAAGTGCGGATGGTGTGTGGCAACTGAGACTGACAGAGCTCCATATGATGACCTTTCAACCAACAAACTGATTTCGTCGAAAACATGACACGCCACCTGTACGTAATGTAAAATACACGCCGTATAACACACGTTCAGCACCTAAAATGCGATGTTTAAGAGTCGCACTAAAGCAGGTATAAAGAAACACTATAAGCGTTTGCCAAAAACTCTTATTCACTGCCTTACATGCATCATATTGGAGAACAGATATATATCTATAGTGCTCAGTCAGGCCTACCCAACTACCAGACTCGGCACCTAAGGATCCTGAATTAACCGGTATATCGGACCACGCTACCCGTTTTCAAGGTGTGTGTCAGATCGCATTTCGGAGTATCATACCCCAGAACAAATTTTGTAGCACGACTGCGGGCTCATCCACGCTCGGCTGAACAACCTTAAACTGTACTCTTACTTTAGAGTACTCTATTTTATTGTCTCTATGGGGATAAATGGGGACTTTACGACATTCGGTTTGAATGTTTTAACCACTTCTGATAGGGCTTTTTGCATTGAATTAGATTAATGTGGCAGTCTAAGGTTCATCTAGGTGGCTTTCAAAAAATCATATAGCGATTTAACGACAATCGTTTACTATCCAATCAAGGTGACAGCCGAACATGCCAGGGCTCATCCTGTCGGTGTTCTGGCTGATACTCCGAAATGCGATCTGACACACACCTTGAAAACGGGTAGTGTGGTCCGATATACCGGTTAATTCAGGATCCTTAGGTGCCGAGTCTGGTAGTTGGGTAGGCCTGTCAGTGACTAAATTTGTGAACATTTACACACATGTCATCTGACGAGTGACGTCGTAATTACGATTTTTGGATAAAAATGTGAAAATCGGTTTCTCTAATTATTCCTCTACCTGAGCACCTACGAACACCGTTCGAACGCCAATTCAATGACACCATTTAGTACTCAAAAACCCTGCCAACGATTTTTCTTTAAGGCATTGGTTAAAATTTTATCGTTGATAAAACAAAAGAATACCTTTGTTTAATAAAAAAAATTGTAAACAGGGGCTCATAACTTCATAAGAAAAACATTAAACCAAAATGACGCACGGGATTGAAGCTCATACACTAGTCGTCAACTTCGCCGATTTTCGAGATAAAATCTTGTTCGGGGATGAAGTTACGCCTTATACCGATTGTAATATCACCTCCAAATAGAAAGGTGTTAAACTGACAATAAAAGCTTTGAGTTGCCTATGCATGTACATAGCTAAGAAAAATGCTAACGCCAATATTTTATATTTCTGAGGGAATTTTTATTGTTTTAAACCAGCACAAATGTAGATGGATCATTGCATAATTAAATGCAAGAAAATCCTAATTTTTGTTATCTGGATGATAATAAACCCTTACAGTAACCTTAACAATATCTTCAGACTACAGACTACATTAATCGCCGCGTAAATTTATAGCAATTCGGTCTTGAATTTTGTTCCCAAAACGTACAGTCTACTTGAATTTCTTCAAACTTAAATTAGAAAAATAAAAATGCCATACAATAAGGTGCCAATCCATTATCAACACACGAAAATGTTTATTCTCTTTGATAGATATAATATTGTCTATTCATATAGCGCTCGAACCTTGCTGGGGAGTATAATGATGAAACAAGATAACTCAAAATGGTTATCTTGTTTTGTTTTCTTTGATATATATAGGCCCCCCATTTGTATTTTACTCACCTTTGTGTTGTCTCTTTTGCAAAAAACGTTCCTTCTGTGCAGCGTTATAGTTTATTTTTCTTCGTTGTTTTTTTCCCCTTGTCTCTTTTCGAGTGATGAAGCCCGCTCGATGAGCACTGCTGTGTGTCGGGGTGCCTCAGAGCCCGTTTTTTATATGCGGTCAACGGAAAATGTTGCCACCACAAATATTGATAGGTTGTCATGATAGTGCGAAAGGTAACGATGACGCATAATTCATGGAAGTACAACAAGTCAAAGGAGAATCACGTGGCATCTTGAAACGGGTCTTTGACCAAGCGTTTCAGTACCTACGGTCGGCGCTTCGTACAATAGGATAATAAAGGGAACCGGATGGGAGTGGAGCTGTGAGTGCGAATTGTATGACGGTATGGTAAGATAATATGTTTGTCTTTCAACGTTTTATGCAGAGAATACTTGTAGAAATACTGGAAATATGATGTGAAAACCGTCACGAAGCTTGATTGCTGAATATTGATTGCTGAATATAGATTGCTGCATCGACCCACTGTTAAGGTCCACTAAATACATGTGATGAACTCACTCATTTACATATTATATTTATATAATCAGTCAGCATATTATCATTCACCTTGCTTCAGTCTTGAATGAATATTTATCATCCTCTATATTGGTATACCTGATAAGTAGAACTGATATAACTGATAAGAAGAAACTCTCACTTGTTATCTATTGCATTGCAATTAGCATTTAAATGAGTTGCTGCCACTGTGGCATGCAGATACAGGGTTACTACTTAATATGGAATATTTTTTTATCATTGTTATTTTTGAGTGCTGATTAAATATTTTTTGGCTTGATTAATCAAAAAAATATGTCATTGAGTGATAAAAATATCCAGTCTTCTATTGTGCGATATTTTGGTCAATAATATCAAATCTGACATAAGATGACATTCAAAAGAAAAGAACACCCCCAGAAAACCATATCAACATTTTGATGTCAGTATTAACTTTAAGCTAACATATTAAAGAAAATGATAGCCTCCGGACAGTGATATGTTACACAGTCAAAGAAATCATTACAATAAATCATGAAAAGTCATCAATAGCGGGTATGACCTCCAGCAGCCGCTTGCAGCGCCCTCATCCTACATGGCATACCCTGTGACAAGTTTTTTAGAGTTTGGATGGGGGGATATCATTCCACGCAGTGATATTTGCCTGTCGCAGTTCATCACGATTTACCGGCTGATGACCATAGCAATTAATTCTGTGAGTTACTTCCGCCCACAGATTTTCAATTGGGTTCATTTCTGGGGAGTTTGCAGGCCAGGGCAGTTGCTGAACCCATTGGTTTTGAAGAAAAACAGTGATTCTGCGAGCTCGATGTGGGGTTGCACAGTCGTCTTGGTACACAAAGTTGTTCCTGAAGATGACTCTTACAAATGGAAGCATTGTTTGCTGTAGAATGTCTCTGTAGAAATCCTGGTTGAGGTTGCCTCCTAGAAAAACCAACTGCTTCTGGGCACCGCCATGGAATGTTCCCCAAACAGAGACTCTACCACCCCCTGCTTGCACCCGAGGCAGTACACAATCATCGTTTTATGCCTCTCGTACACGTCAACCCCAAATATTCCATATCTGGCCTCATCACTGAAAACGACGTGATTCCAGTGTTTTGGCTGCAAACGCACCTGGTCCCCAGCCCATTGCAGACGTCGCTGTATATGACCTGCTGTTAACAGTGGTTTCCATACTGGTCTTCGTGCAAAATAACCGGTTTGCAGTAATCTCTTATTCACGAGGGACCTTGAAACGGGCGTTTGAAAGGCATTCTGCCACTCTTTTCTGAGGACACTGGTTGTCTTTGTACGACCAGCACGACGCACTCTAAGGAAAAGGTTCCTGAAAAATGTTGAATTGTCTGGCAATGGCTGTCCGTTTCTGACCATTTTCCCTGAGAGCAAGAATCCCATCGTAAGCTGCGTTGCTTAGCTGTCGAACCATATCTTCTCTAAGGATTGACCAAACCCATGCGTTTTTATACAAGGGCAGAAATTGCCGAAAACACCACCCCTCACATTTCTAACCACAGAACATGCAACTGCATGCATTAATTGTTTCGAGAGTTGTGTGGTAATTAGGTAACACACCTGGCTACACGTGGAGTGACACTTCAGTTTTAGATTTAAAAGAGTATGAGGGAAAATAAATATTTTGTAGAATATTTACTCGCCAAAAAATAATATTCCATATTAAGTAGTAACCCTGTAGATTCCCTGTAGATAATGTGTATAAATGCTGAATGTTGGACCTAATAAAGGAACTTGAGAGTTGTAACTGAACATGTGAGTTCGTTGTTATATTCCCTCTCCCACGCATCAGTGACAAGTGAAATATTAGATGAACCTGGGTAGGGAGGAACATGGACCCCTACACCACAGCGCGGCAAAGAATGTCAGGGGAAAAACATGCTGGGCTGTAAACCGTTGCCATGTGCAATTTTTGCATGTATGCAATCTGATATGCCTACGTATATCTAGCTATTGTTTGGTGTTTTATGTAAGTGCTGCAATAATAAAGATGTTTTGGAGTCCTTAAAAGACCTCCTTAAACCAGGAAGCAAAGCGCAACTAACAACTACTGTAAATCGCAACGAACCACGATCGAGGTGCAATGATATATCCTTTTTTTAATGTTGTCACAAGTTTTTAGATGGTTAAATATCAAGTTGACATATGCTTTAACTTCGCACTCACGGTTTCACTCCCGTGTTCTTCCAGTTAAAAAATTACCAGGCAGCTTCACGTCTTAGACCACTCGACGTCATAGGACGCGCACTTCCGGCACAATCCTTTATCGTCCGGTTCCCTTTATTGCTCTTGTATTTCACTTACGGTACACTTTCGCTTGTATTTTACTACGCCTTGGTGCGTTAATCCCAGTGTTTGAAGCCCTAGCCTCTTGTTTGTCGCATACAGTGGACGACGAGTACATGTATTTGTTACTGGAACTTCAGTCAAATCATAGAGAAAATATCTTGCATGGTTATGAGACAAGATTAAAAGCATTTTTGAAAGAGTGGAAGAACAGAGTACCGAGGGGAAAAGGTAACTGAATCATGCTCCTAGGTTTATTTTTTCATAATCATTATATAAATTAAAGCTACGAATAAAGAGAAATAATTACAGTTTTTATGGTATACAATGGCAGTTTTGTCTTCTATCTGATGTCGAAACAGAAAACTATCTCTAATTCTGGAACCGTTAATGCTAGAGACCTCTTGTTTTTTGCATTTAATAGATTATGTCAAGCTTAACGCTAAAAGTGGTCTTCGTTTTTTTGTTTTCCATACGGTTTACAAGTTATGCTGTATAAAAAAAAGTACGTTGTGGTAGTGAAAGCAAAATGTGCAATACGATAATATGTAAAAATTTTTGAACTTCTGGAAAAGATAACATAAGGCTTGGCGAGGCAGACAACTTCTGGTCAAAGATGACATTATTTCATGAAATTTGAACATCTGGAGCTTCTGAGCACCTCCCATTTCAAGAATTTCAACCAAAATGACCTTTTCTTTATTTCAATTAATTTATTTTGTAGAAATTTATGGCACATTACTGTATCTCCAAAATAGAAACATTAGGTCCCTTACATCTCCAAAACTAGCAGAGATAGGTCCATAGTTACTATTAAGTTAAATAGGAAAATATATACTGGCAATCTAACTGTGACCTTAAAATTGACATTTGGCCTACTTTTCATCATGAACTGAACTTTACAACCTTTCTATCTGTTATATCTCCAAAACTAGCAGAAATATGCCATGATTACTATTGAACTTGAATAGAAAGATATATACTGGCAATCTGTGACCTTAAAATTGACCTTCGACCTACTTTTTATCATGAACTGAACTTTACAACCTTTTCATCTGTTATATCTCCAAAACTAGCAGAAATATGCCGTAGTTACTATTGAACTTGAATAGGAAGATATATACTGGCAATCTAACTATGACCTTAAAATTAACTTTTGACCTACTTTTCACCATGAACTGAACTTTGTAAGGTTTTCGTCCCTTACATTTCCAAAACCTGCAGAGATATGCCCATTGTTACTATTGAACTTGAATAGGAAGTCATATATTGACAATTTAACTGTGACCTTAAAATTGACCTTAGACCTACTATTCACCATGAGCTGAACTTTGCAACCTTTCTATCTGTTATATCTTCAAAACTAGCAGAGACATGCCCATAGTTACTATTGAACTGGAATAAGAAGTCATATACTGGCAATCTAACTGTGACCTTAAAATTGACCTTTGACCTTCTTTTCGCCATGAATCGCACTTCACAAATTTGGATTTAAACTTTAACTCTTCCCCATGATTTTGTTTTAAATTGTAATTTTCAATAAAAATATTTAGAACTCTAGGCTGCATTTTGTAGATCTTGTCAAGCAGAACACTAGAGGTGGTGTCCTTTTTTGCTTTAACATACGAATGCACTTACTCCAGCTGGTGGTACAATACCCGGAGGCGGTATCGCCTCTCTGATCCTCTAGTTATAAGATGTGTAATGAAGCAGACGCAAATGCACAAAAACTTGGTTTGGTGCCATTCATTAAACACACCGTTTGTATAAATTTAATTATGTGATTTTTACGATTGGTTTCTTTATTCATCTAAAAGAAACATTTGTAGGATGATGGCACTGAGATTCTTTCCAGTCTGTCCAGAGACCTAAGTGCATTCCGTCCATTGGTCTTTCACACGAGAGGGGGAAGGCAACCGTGGGTGACTAAATAAAACAATAAAGCATTTGATGGAAATAACTTCAGCAGGGATTTAAAAAATCTGTTAAAGGTTTCAAGAGAATTTTACCTTCCGAATAAGCTTGACCTCTTTAACACGAGTTTCCTCTCGTCGTGACATTTTTTTTTCAGAAACACATTTTGCCACTCCCATTCCTACCAGTTAAACTTGACAATTGGATTTTTGTTTCTCATATTTTAATTTTACATTTGGAAATCTAGAGGAAACTGAAATCCTGTGTGTGTGTGTGTGTGTGTGTGTGTGTGTGTGTGTGAATTGCCCTGAAGAACAGCTCTACAGGCCCACCCTTGAAATACAGAAAAAAAATTATATGCATGTAATGATTGAGAGCTTAGAAGTTACGAGGACGATGAAAGAATTTATAAAAACGGAAAAAAAGAGATAAATCTGCATCGAATGGCATAAAGCAAGGGTCTCTCTACCGTCTCTCTGCATCTGATTGCAACTAACTTTATAGGAAATCATACTGATTTTTGCGTCCCGCAAAACTATCAGGCGTGTCTTATTATAAAGTGCCCAACATGTAAATGGGCCTTAGAGCCTTTAGTAAGCAGTTATGGCATGAATGCCACGTGATCACTTCCGACTGTTCCTTAAATAGGTCATCGTTTTAACTTAAAAGTAAATGTCCCGGATACGTCCTATCAGATACACATTAACATTCCTGACTTAATGGGGGGGGGGGGGGTATATTACATGTACCCTAAACAAAACCAAAGTTATGCAATGTATGTCTGTGAAAGAGGTCTGGTTGTTAGACATTTTTCATTTCCCTAAATTTATTATTTATAACAATTTCAAACATTAAGGTTTTAACAAGCAATTGGAATCAATTAAGATAATCTTGTGATCTGATATTAGACTCAGATTGTTTTAAAAAATTCGGACATCCTAACATAGGCAAAAAGAGTCTAAAAAGATACTCCTTTATCTGCAGTGCATTATGTTTTATTGGGCTAGTCCCCAACTTCCAACTTTTATAAACATCTTTCTTTTAATAGATGCACTATACTTAAACTTGCGAACCCAATACACAGATATTGAGTTTTATTTCCCGCTGACGACACCGTTTATATGTAACTGGTCTTCCTTTTTCCTTTACATAATAAATATAATTCTCAAAAGTTGTTAACTTTCAAAATAATTCATCATTTTAAGTAAATTTACCAAATTATGTTTGAAAAGAAGAATGATCCTCTCACTGCTTTAGATAATTATGATTAATTTTTAAAGTGAAAAACGTTTGGTCCAAAAATTTGATCCAAAGTGATTGTTATCAGCTTTTTATAGTCAATTGTCAACAGCTGAACTAGCTGCAGCTGCACGGCACACCCATAAAGCTTTTTAGTATGTAATAGATTCTACGCAAAATATAGTCCTCTTTCATGTAGAGTTCCGCGACAAGTGCTATCGCACTAGTTACAACTGTACATGACCAGCCACCCGTTATATGTGATATAAGAGAGTGTATTTGTCAAGGCGAAGGTTGTAACGGCCTTTTCCTACATTTTAGCACAATACAAGTGCCAGCCGCCGGATTATCTGATGCATGAATGCAATTCTGAACAGTTTTGAAAATTAATTAACTAAAGTATGCACTTAAGGGAGCTATATTTTCTGTTTTCTGGGCAGTTATTTTATTTCCTCATAAAATAATAACATGAATTTTGCTTCGTGATCAGGTTAATCCGCGTTGCCCGCCAAGAAAAGTTGTTTTTGAAAGGTTATGCATATTATATTAACTTCCTAGCTTTTTGAGTCTGTTTGCATAAGTGTTTGCAGTATTATGCAGAAAGTTAAAGATGGATTTTGTTAAAATTTTCAGGATATGTCATAAATGTCTTAACTTGGAATCCATTATATTTTGCTGATGATCCTTTCATTATCTGATCAATGATTTAATTGAAATGAGAATTGAGCTGTCTAGGAAGAGGTCTGCATTCTCTGAGTTTTTTCCTAGTTTTTCTAATTATTCTTTTCAGATTAAATAATCAATTGCAACCTATATATGAACTGTGTGCTGTATTAGTCGTAATCAGAAGCAGCTCGACAATCATGAAGGAACGGGTGAAGCGTCGATTGACTTATTTTGCCGTGATTGTATTCTTTTTACTAGAAGGTAAATGTAACAGATTCTACGATATTCTACTTCTGTACTAGGACCCAATATAAGTTGTTCTGTATCATGAATTTGACATGAAAGTAATATCTTATTCCATTTACCCCTTTACCAAAAAAAAATAAAGATTATGTAATTTTTTGGACGTAAGTGAAAAAAGAATTAGTTGTTGAACGTACATGTACATCAATTTTCTATTACAAAAATTCTTGCAATTTTATTGAAACGAGTATTGATACTTACGATACTTACCTGTATCGTTATATCTTCATAATGTTAGCCACTTAAACCATTTCAATTTCAGGTGTCGAATACGCCATTATCCTTCCCACCGTATATCAGTACCTTCAGTCCCTTGGTGGCGAGGCCTACCAACTTGGACTGGTCATTTCAGCATTTCACGTCAGTGGCCTGGTAGCCGCACCAATATTCGGAAAATTCTCGGACAAGAGAATAAGTACGAAGTGGCTTGTAATATTTTCAAACTGTTTTGAAAAAGTAGGGAATTTGATTTACTTCATTGGGGGAGATAAGTGGCTACTTTTCGCGGGTCGATTGGTGGCCGGCGTAGGATCCGGCGCTGCAGCAACTATGTTTGCGTTTCTTGCCCGTGTAACTGAGGACAAAGATCGCACTGCTATATTTTCACTGGCCATGGGAGCACGGCAGATTGGTCTTCTAATAGGTCCAGGACTTTACCTCGGACTAAGGCTTGTGAATCTAAAACTGGGAGCGGTGGAAATAAACGAACTGAACTCACCAGGTCTCTTCATGACATTGATGTGGATTATCATGGACCTGCTTATGGTTTTTCTCTTTTGGGATTTTGCAAATAAAACTGACGATGGCGTGAAAGAAATTGCATTTGCGAGGCATTTTTGTTGCGGTGTCTTGAAGTCTAACAAGTCACCATCCGAAGAGTTGGCTTTTCACTTTGAAGATGGTTTACAAACAGAAATTTATCCTGTTACTTTTCTTAGTGGCAGACGTCTTTCCATGAATACAGTATCAACACGAGGCAACAGGCAGTCTATCATGCATCGCGTTGCCGATATAGCACATATTCCGACTATTACTGAAACATTTAACGAAATGCGTGAAAATGACAAAAACAATGCCCCTTATGACACTACGAATGTGAATAATGTTGCGGAAAGTGAAGAGACTGAAAGGGCTAACGGCACCAGCAACAACTTTTTAAGCATATCAAATTTTAAAAGGTTTCGTCATTATTTCAAGAAAACGGTCATAACCGTATTGTTAGCACAGTTTGTCACTTTGTTTAATCAAACATCTTTGGAGACACTGGTAACACCATATACTGAAGAACATTTTCAGTTCCATACTTTTGAAAATAGTTTGCTCTATTTAGTGGGCGGCGTAGAAGTTATCGTTGGTTTTGTAATTGTTAGATTACTAAGCAAGAAACTTCAGGACAGATCAATTCTTTTGATTGGGACACTGATATGTGTTACTTCTTGTGTTTGGTTTGCCATATTTCTCGTGCAGCCTATGCATCCCTATACCTGGCTCTTGGTTGAGTTTGCAGTTGCGGTATTCCTTCAGTTATTGGGGTTACCGTTCGTGGCTGCAGCCCAGGCCTCACTTTTCTCTAAAGTTACTCCAGAAAAGGACCAAGGGCTCAGTCAGGGTATACGTCATATTGTAGGTGGTGTTGCCGCCATATTAGGGCCCATTGTTGCTGGGGCTTTTACTGGGCAACTTTACGGGTTACTAGCTACAATGATTGTATTTTTAGTTGTTCTCCTGGTTCTCATGGGCGTGTCCTTCAAATCCCTAAATACTAATACATGTAGTATAAGTGGAAATGCTGAACACAATGAACCTTCTATCAGGGTCACGGATTGATTTTCACTTGATTTTCATAGATATCTCTCGTGTTAATCCATGATACAATTCTCTGCTGGCTCGCTACAGAAAAGTGCACATAATTAACCTAAGGCCCTGGTACGGCGTTTAGTTTATTTGATTTAAAAAGCGCGTTGCTTCAAAGTCTAATGCCTACCATTTAGTAATATTCAACACACTTTCAGTAAATACTTTTTCACGTTTTAGTCACTTGCACTGTATTTAATATGAAATGTCACCCTAAGTTAATACACAGATATATAGACAGATAAGTACAAGTAGATGAATGTAGGTTAATTTCAAAACACCTTGTAAATAGATTATGAACAAAAGAATTATACAGACTTGACATTTAATATGGAATATTTTTTCCGAACCACTTTTTTTTATTTTGTCCTACTTTTCCGACTTAATAAGTCGACTAAAAAGGATTTGAATCTTGTTTTAATAGCTTTTAATAATCTTTTCAGTGAAATTTTGACATCCACTCTTTCGCTGAATTCACCTTATTAAGCAAACAAATAACATGGCTGATTCTAAGTAAAACAACAACAATTGAGAGCATTATGTCGATCTCCATATTTTCCAAATTATCACGCACGGTAACATCTGCTACATGTATGCAAAATTTCAAAATCTTATGTGCGGGCGTTTCCGAAATATTGAGACTTTTTTGTCTGAACCATGCACTGCCGTAGCCATACTAAGACCAGCCAAATGAGTACTACCCAAAGAAATCACCGCACATTACGTAATGATGCAGTGCTTCAGACAAGGCAGTCAGTTTATTGTTACTGACATACTTGATCATACTTTTGTGTATTCTCATAATTCGCACGAAATGCACTTTTTAGAAATAAATGGTACATTTTACCTAGCCATATCCTTGAAACTAAAATATTTCATGTTAAATGTCAAGTCTGTATAATACTTAATGGAAATTTATTGGAATTTTATTGAAGTGTCCTCTAGCCCGCTTTTATTACAACGAGGTTCAGAGTTAGCACCCTGAAACTTAGCTTGCCTTCTTCGAAGCTTTTTCGTTTTATATATATATATATATATATATATATATATATATATATATATATATATATATATATATATATCTTCTGTAATGAGTGCGAGGATGCAGTACGGCAATCAGGACATCTGTTGAACATATCGTTTTATTTTTATCTTTTCCAATGAATGGGAGGATGCAGTATGGCAATAAGCACATTTTTGCACCTAGTCATTACAGGGCGAAAATAGTTGTCCTGTTAGTCAAAATATTATATGCATGGCGTTTTCTTTTGATCTACGGTTCCATTTTATTTGCATTATAATTTGCGATTTGAAATGATATTTTAATAATCTTTCTCATGTGTACGCAATAAATTTTCATTTTCTAGCTTCAAGTATGTCTTTCTTTTTATTTTTATTTTGCAAATAAGAGGCGCATTGACAGGTTTCTAAACTTTAGAAACCTGTCAATGCGCCTCTTATTTGCAAAAGGCATCAAAAGATCTCACCTTCATGTACCTGGATCGCTTGTGATCATATCGTTAAGTAGCCCTCCTACACAGGTCTAGTTGGCCTGTCAACAGGTGAACTAGATCGGAAAATTGGGCAACTTTATACCTGCATTTTATTTGTGTTCATTACTTCATCTGTTGAGCATTCCTTTTAGCGTTAAGTAGAATACAGAAAAGCTGGTGATTACACGAGTAGTTGGAAATAAGAGGAGGCTTGTTAATCTGTTAATGCGATTGCATTCAGCGAGAGTCTCAGGGGGTTGGATCGATCTACGTAGAACAGTACTTTCATTGGGAATGAGCCCTAGGTCCCAACATAATGTGGATCCTAGTTTGAGTCTATCGACATTTTGTCTCTTTCACACACACTACACTTAAAATGACATGTGCACCGGGTAACTACATATCTTGGCTTTCTTCGTCTCAAATGTCATCATTAAAATATAACACAGTTGTTGAGTTTACTTATGCCCCGAGTTTAGTGTGCATCGAAAGGCTCACCATCAACTCCACTTAACATCTTTATTTAGACCTACTGTCTGCTCATTGTTTACAGTGCCTGGTACATGTAACATGGTGTAAAAAACAATGCAAGCCACACCGCCTTTTTCATACATTGCGCGCCGGCACTGAAATAAATGTAGGAGTTAACTTTTTAAACGGCAAACACGATTAATAAACACTTGCATTATTATACAACATCGCTGCTCCTTCTTACACTTTTGACTGATTGTTTAAATTTCTGCTCCCAAAAGGATATTCTTGTACTCGTTACAAGAGAAATGTGATAAGAAAGTAGAAAAAAAAACGATTTACCAAGAAGCGTGAAGTGGAAACGAAGGACAAATCATGCTTTTATTTTCATTCTTAATTTCGTGAGTAGATATAAAACAGTATCACAAAAGCCAGCCGTTAAATATGTGCTGGAGTTAAGTTTGAATTTGGTTAAAATAGGGTAAAACTGAAAAGTTTGTTCTTAGTTTAGACCTATTAAACCTTTATGAACTGGCTCTGATTACATCGTTGAAATACATGCATTGCCTTTGACAGTTTTTTTTTATCAGAAAAAAAAACACTTAAGGACGAGTGCTCTGTTCCTAACTTAAAACTTGATACATAGCTTCATGTGAATTTGTCTTGAGATGATGCTCCCAAGCATTGACCATTGCCAGAGAGGGAGAATCCCTCGCACGCCCCTCATCCCCTACCTCGACACACACACACACACACTCACACACACACTCACACACACAGACACACAATAAAAATAAAATAATAATAATAATAATAATAATAATAATAATAATAAAAATAATAATGAACCCGCTTTTCCTTTTTTAAAATGAACTGTTTTTTATGGTTTGGAAGGTAATCCATAGGGTTTTTTTAGAAATGTGTTAGAAGTTTTCTATAATCAAATACTTTGACTACACAGAATATGAAAGAAAAATCAAATCGCAAGTAACTTATTTGTTAAATTTCAATTTAAGTGTTTCAATGTTTCAAAAATTCCATCAGCTGTTTTACAACTTAATTACAGTAACAATCAGTAATTAAAACATTTTAATTTTTCACTCCGATGCCGCTTTTATCAGGGATATTAATTGATTACTTTTACTTTTTAATTTAGTTGCTACCTCTCGATAAGAATGCTCTCATGATAAGAAATTGTGACTTAAAAATACAGTATCTGCAAAATGCACAATTTCCCCCATTGAAGAGAGCGAATTATTACCGCGCTAGGTTCACATATTTTTAAGTGTACTCTGTGTGAAAGAGACAAAATGTCTGGGTAATCAACTGAACTCAGCGTACTTTAGTCTTGGGAGTTTAACCCCCTTGTATACAATTTGGACACATTGCTATCTGGGGACACGTCGCGACAATTTGAGAAAATTAATTGCTGATACGCTATAAGAATGGATTTTAGGACCTTTCAAACAGCAAACCAGTTTATAAACATTTACATACTGTATTTTTACATACAATACGCCTGGTCCTTCTTACAGTTTTGCGTAATTGTTCTTATTTCCACTCCCCCCCCCCCCCCCCTCCCCCGCAAATGGTTCATTTATCCTTGTATGCACGTTACAAGAGAAGCGTGATGGGGAAGTACATGTAACCAAAAAACGCTTTACCAAGAAACGTGAGGTGGAAATGAAGGACAAGTCATGCTTTTATATTCATTTTTAATTTCTTGAGTTGTTATCAAGCACTGCAATAAATCACGAATGAGTGGTGTTAAATATGTGCCAGGATTAAGTTAAAATAAGGTAAAAGTCTTTTTCTTAGTAAAGACCTATTAAAATATACTCTTTGTGAACTGACTTTTATGGTTTCAGTTCCATCATTTTAATCTATGTATTGCCTTTTGAAGGGTTTTTTTTCAGAAGAAAAAACAAACACTGATTTGTTTCATACTTTAAACTCGATAAATGGCTTCATGCAAATTTACCTTGAGATGATGCGCCCAAGTTGCCTTTTTGATACTAGATTTTTTTGCTGATGAGATGTGACTATTATTTTTATTACACTGCTTACCACAATGGAATCTCAAAAGCCTCCTGTTAAACTACGTTTTTTTTTTCTTATCAAACAACCAGTTTATCATATTAGTTTCATAACTGATGAATCACTTTGTGGGCCAGAAAGTGGAAGTTCAGTACTCTCTACCAGGGTGGCAGATGTTATACAATGTAGGCACGTTTTTCACATTTCTAGAGAAACAAATGACCGTCTATTTATCTAAAGACATATCTGTGAATATCTTGTGAAAAATCTATCTGTGGCCCTGGTAGAGGGTAGAAGGTCAGAATGTCGGGTACATGTGACGTTCTACCGGGTCAAAGTGACACGAGCCGCAATGACTGTCCAAAAATCATTCGCTCACACGTTGCCAAAATAGTCATTGTGTCAGTGGCATACGAGGCCTTAACATTAAATGTTAAGTGATCCATCTTTTATTTAAAAAATACGAAATAAAACTTTCAGTGTGTTTTACAGAAATTAAACGTCGTGAGCGAAATGGGGTCGCTGGAAACAAAATTAAATATCGATTGCAGTGTCAGGCATTACATCAGGCATCGCACATGTTTCGATACATTTAACGGAATACTTAAAAATATAAGATACAATAACAGTTATGACATTACGAATGCGAATGATGTTGCGAGAATATTAAAAGGGGAAACAGCAACACATTTCTAAGAATGTCAAATTCTAATAGGATTTAGGAAAACAACCAAAGTCATATTGGCACAGTTTCTCACTTTGTTTTACCAAACTTCCTTGGAGACACTGGGAGCACCATATACTGAAGAACGTTTTCAGTTCCATTTTTTTTTCAAAATAATTAATTGTCTTTATTGAGAGGGGTAGAAGTTATCATTACCTCCGCCAAGAAGGTTATGTTTTTGGTTCCATTTGATTGTTAGCAATATTATGATGAGAGTTGTGGGCTAATTTTCATGAAATTCCAAGCTAGAAGGGGCCCAGGTAGGAAACGATAAGATTTTGATGATGATCTATCAATTGATAAATGGTTAATTATTAGCTAGATAGCCATTTGTTTGCCTGTTAATATAATGCAAAATGTTATGGAGAAACTTACCTGAAATTTTCAAGAAAGGTCAGAAAGGAGTTAGATTTTGGCGGTGATTGGTTAATTTATTTATCAATCGATAAACAAACAGAACGAACTACAGGTTTCTAAGGGTTCTCCTAAAAAGAAATCCAGCTAGCTGGATTTGAGGGCCTTTGTTTTGGACCCCCTGACCACACCCACCACTGGAAATACGGCAGACTACCATTTTTATATATATATAGGTAAGCATATAAGTCATTGCCAGGTACAAGAAAATTGGTGATCTTTTCGGGCATGCTCTACCCTCTGGGATCCCGGACTACTAGCTAATTAGTTGATAAATAAATAATTGATGAAAATAAGAATTGGGTTAAAATGGATTTATAAGTTAAAATTTATGATAATAATTAATGAAAATGCTGTCTGCGCTCTCTGAGTGGTTTTCTGGTTTGTTTTGGTATAGTTAAATAATTAAACAGGAAAGTTCAGGAAAGACCATCTTTTTGGCACTATATGTCACTGCTTGTCTGGTTCTCCATATTTTTCGTGCAGCCTATGCATCTCTATACTTTTTTTGGTTGAATTTACGGTTCAGATATTTCAGTTATTTGGGCTACCGTTTGTGGCTGCAGTCTAAGCCTCACTTTTCTTTCAAGTCACCCAAGAAAAGGACCAAGGGCTCTTTATCGGTGTGTACGCCATATTGCAGGGAGC